CCCCCCCCCCCCCAATAATTTGCTAATAATCTTTTTTTTTCAACATCATGGAGACCTTTATCACTTAATCTGTGACAAACTGCAATGAAGAATGAAGATATTACCTATACTTTCCTGGAACTTATTTAATGTATAGTTGATTAAATATATGCCTTCGCCCATTTAGTACTACTAAATTGTAACTTTCGACATACTAAAACACTGTTTTCTGACTATCAGAATTCTGTCAAATCTTCCCCAACGTCCAGAAATGGCATTTCAGAGATTCTAAATTTAACGCTTGTGTTCCTGGTTAAGTCTAATAAATGTATATAAATTTCCACTCAACAATTTCCGTCCACAATACCAATAAAATGTGAGATGCCACAAACATCTTGATATTTACTGTCTTACCCGATTACATATCCGATGATTGCAAGTTGAATTATTCGATTGATTAAACCAACTTTCTTGTTTTTCATATGAACAACCTTACTCGTATTATATTCAAGAACGGCAGCAGCAAAAGAGCTGCAAGCCTTGTTAAAATTCACCATTTTTCACAAACTTTTATTTTGTCATTTCTCAGAAACTTTCAAGAGCGGAACGAGGAAGTTGAGACGGCGGTCACAACACAAGCGGTCAGTGACGAAGACGATACTTCATTTTGCGACATATACATTGAACAGGAATCTAAGTGTGACGTCACCTCTCCAGCACGGAACTCAAGGCTGAACTTGCCCGTTTTCTCTCTTGGGTGAAAATAGGTCTGTGGCACAGGATTACGGGTGACACCGAAGAAAATAGGGTTGGGTAAACAAAAATTTGAGTAAGTAAAAGGTTGGGTAAATGAAAAAGAAAACAACTCAAGGGTTGGGTAATAAAAGAATTATTGTCATTTCTCAAATACTCACATTCAAATATAGAATCAATATAATATGTAAATCAATCAATCAATCAATCAATCAATCAGAGTCACTATCTTGATCATTTTCCGATTTGTCAGGAGGCAAATGGTGTCTCCAAAGAAAGTACATGTGCAGACAACATGAAACTTTAGACTGGAGAAAATTGCACAAGCAGTTATCAAACTCATGTCACAGAAGTGGTAAAGAACATGTGTGACAACTAAAAGGTATCCTTTTGTAGAGTTTCTGGCTAGGGGTGGGTTTTATTTTTTAACTGATATTTGAGGTTGGATAAATTTTATTTGGATTTTTTAATGGTTGGACCAGCAAAATTTTTAATAACTAGGAAAACATTTCATAAATAATGACCGATCCCTTATTCGCTTCCATTCAACTCACTTACATATATAATTTTAATCTACATGCTATAATCTTGGACAAAACTGGTTGAAACCCAGTGTAATTAATATTCATGCTAGAAAAATATATTCTGTCGCTATGTCCATTAAATCATGGATTTATTTTGAGTAACCCCCCCACTCCCCCAGTCCAATGTTGCCAGTATTTGATAGCCACATAACCCAAGCACATGTTTCATCCAATCAACATTGAATCTGGGGGGGGGGGGGGGTGAAACTATGGAAATTTTAAACACTCATGAATATGACATTTGATCTCATAGTTGTCTTTAAGCGTTATGTCCAAGATTCTAGCTTACCCCGTGTTTCATTCTAAACGTACATTATCAGATCAGGGGCCATTGGAGTGCGCTCGGAGACTATCATGCATTAATTACGCAAAATGAGCTAATTACGCATTCATTTTACTGGCAAAGCGAGACAAACGCTTGCGGTTTCGCCGGTTTGCCAATTTCTCATCTAATTTTCATCCAAATTGAACCAGAATTTATTCAATTCGTCCATGGGTAATGTCAATTAGTCTCACAAATTATCGTATTAAATTTAAACGTTTGATATTTGTTAAGCTATCGTGGTGATAGACACACAAACAAACACACATAAAAACACGGATAAAAAGGTAACAAGGTATGCGTGTTATCAGTTGAAAATGTAATTAGTGGCCACAGGCATAACAACAAAATTATTCCGGCATGCGGGATGAAATTTTCTCATATAAACGCGAGAGAAATTCGTCTCGCTCACCGGGCCGTCTCGCTAGGCAGGCCAGCCAGGTTTCCATATAAACAGCCCATAAGACCAGCCTTTGGCGAATGTACTTGGCATGACTTATGTTTGTGAATGATATATATCTATGACTTGCTATGGATATGTTCAAAATATTGAGAATGGTTAAGCCAGGAAGAAGAAGACACCTCGCAGTGTGAATAACATTGACATTGTCTTTAAAGTGAAGGCTCATTCCAGATGGCTTTATTTTCGTATAATAAGACCGCAATTTGAGCAATTTCAATTAACAGCATACAACCAATCGAAAACTACTATAGCTAGACATCATATCGATTTCTGGGTTTAAAAAAATGCAAATCTTGTGCTGTGGTTTTACAAAACAAGTTTTACTGTAGACGCTTTGAATACGCGGTCGCATTTTGATCATACATACGCTTGAATCTCTGTCTGTCATTTATTTCAATGTTTAAGAAGAATGTTTACTGGATATTTCACGGGAGTCAAATAAAGGTATAAAGCTGTCTATTTGGAGAAGACTTGTACAACACAGCGATCAGTACTCAGTCTAGTAGTAAGTCTCTAAAATTTGCTTTATTTAAAATTTAAATTTAGGAAAACAGCGAGTAAATATGGCGTCGAACTATCCACTCGGGTACGATGACGAAAGATTCGAGTCGATAGTGAACCAAAATTTCCACTGTTTGATTTGCTATAACGTATTGAAAGACCCCGTGATGTGCCGCAGAAACGAGCATTATTTTTGCCGCGGCTGCATCACGGAACATCTTCGTAGGAATTCCCATACATGCCCAACGTGTGCTGACGGGCTGAGTGTCGAAACATTGCAAGACGTTCCAAGAATTGTGAAGAATTACTTAAACGAACTTAGTATACGTTGCGATCATTACAACAGAGGATGTCGAGAACTCGTCCAGCTGCAGAATTTAAAGCGACATGTCGCCGAATGCGGGTTCACTCCAGTCCTTTGTGGAAATCAAGGTTGTGGTGAGACAATCAGTAAAAGAGATCGTACATATCACGAAAGTGAACTGTGTCAATTTAGAAAGATGAAGTGTCACAACTGTGGAGAAATCAGCACGGTGATGGCGGAAATGAAAACGGAAGTCGCAAACATGAACACGAACATCAACACGAACCAAGCGGATACGAGAACGAAATTGGCAAACACCAACACGAACATGACAAATATTAGAACGGAAATAGCCGATATAAAATCGAAAATGGCAAATATCGACACGAAAATGGCAAACATGAACACGAAAATGGCAAACTTGCAGGCGAACGTGGAAGCGAAGTTCGAAGCGATGAATAATGAAGTGAGAGGAATAAAAATGAGTTTAAATGAAGTAAAAGATGGCTTTGATCACTTGAAAGAAGCAGTACTTGAGAAGATAGAGAGCAAAGAAAGAAAGCAGGAGGAAATCACAAGAGATGTAAGTGGCACAGCAAGTGCCGGCAGAGAAAATCAACATATATTTGTTGCTGGTGGTTCGAGGAAAAACTCTGTAGAAATATTTAACAACCGTCAGAGATTGTGGTCTTTGTTAAAGCACATGCCAGAGAGTCGTTATGACGCATCTTCATTTGTTTACAATAATCATGCGACTGTAGCGGGAGGTTTGTCTTTTGGTGCTGTAGATAACATGATTCGAATAAACATTCACCCAGTCCCTGATCTCTCAATTAACTGGAGTGATTTTGCTGCCAAACTCCCTGCCAAGATGTGTGCACACAGCAGTGTGGTGTACAAGGATCGCTTGTTGGTTACTGGTGGTCATAATGCAGATCAACGTGTCATCTCTGACTGTATTCACGAAGTCCCACTTAAACCACCTTACACTGTTAAGCTGGTATCCAAGATGCCTGAACCAAGAGTTCGTCACAACACAGTACTATGTGGTGATAGTATTTTGATCGTTGGGGGAACGAAATCCGGGGACTGCAAAGACAACCTTAGCAGTGTGTTAAGCTATGACATCAAGAAGAATGAATGTCAACAGTTACCTGCGCTTCCCTATCCAGTGAGTCAAATGGCGACGGTCAAGTGGCCTGAGAATGTCGTGATCATTGGTGGGGCTGACAAGGATGACAAAGCATTAAACAAAGTTATAATTTATAACATGAAGACTGGAAACAGTCATATGTTGCCTCCCATGTTACACAAGAGGAGAGGATGCATGGCAGTTGTTATTGAGAATACAATTGTTGTACTAGGAGGGATGGATGAGAGAGGGAATCGTTTGAAATCAGTTGAAGGTTTCAATTTTGAGCGATTTTCGTGGCAGGAATTTCCTGAAATGAAGGAAGACAGATACCTGGCCACAACTGTCGTGATCTAGATATTATATCGAAGCTTATTGTATATATATTTCTAGAACCACTGAGTATTTTAACAAAATACAAAACAAGTGAAACTCCAAAGATCGATAACATTTTTATATTTATCTACGTTTCGACTATATTTCAGTCATCATCAGAATAAACTAGCTAGGTTATACATCAAAAGCAGTATTTATATGAAGAAATATGAAACAATCTTTTCACTTAACGGACATCTTTATAAACAAATCGGCGGTGTTTCTATGGGTTCATCCTTAGGTCCGACATTAGCTAACATAATCATGACGGAATTTGAACAAGAAATTGTTAAACCTCTCATTAATTCAGGACTAATAAGATTTTACAAACGTTACGTTGACGACACCCTTATCCTTATGAGACCATCTGACATACAACTAATTCTCACTAAGTTTAACTCTTTCAATCCTATAATAGTTTTGTAACAATTTACCGTTGATGAATTCAGCGACAATGACATCCAATTCCTTGACATCCACATCCATCCCTCTGGAACTTCTGTCTATACAAAGCCGACTCATACTGGTCAATACTCCCACATATCAATCAAGCTTCACACCCTGGTCAAGAAAAATTGCTTGGATCCGTGCTCTCGTAAATCGCGCCTACAAAATCTGCAGTAATGCCACTCTCCTGAACAACGAGTTAAAACAAATCCAAAATTTCATATCTTGGAATGGTTTCCCTCGCAAATTAACCTCAAAACTTAGTAACCAATTTATACCGTCCCCACTGTATCCAATGACAACGACAACGAAGCCACAATGACTGAAACAAACAAAGCTCCTAATATCTGGTTACAGCTACGATATCTTGGCAAATTTGGTGAAAGACTAACTCGTTCGCTGATACACAAAATAACTCCTCTACTCACATTAAAATCCCGATTCATTATTAACTGGAAGACCATTAACAGCAACGTATTTGTATCATGCAAAGATAAAACCCCGAAAACTTATCAAAGCTCCGTTGTCTATGAATTTACTTACCCTGGATGTAATAGTAGGTACATCGGCAAAACTGACCGCTGCTTATACACCAGAACTAAGGAACATTCATATCACACTGAATCTGTAATCCATCAACACCTCTCTACTTGTGAACAGTTTCAACATATTAAAGCCCTTTTAGAACTATATCCCGACGATGACGCAAAGTCTAATCAAACCAGCATAATGGCTGAACATGTTTTCCACAACACTAAAATAATTGATAAATCAAACCATCGGTCCCTTTTGTTGTCAGGAATCGCTCGCTATATTCAATAAACCTGAGCTTAATCCTGGAATTAAGGCTTTTAAAGAACTAATCATATTTAGTTAATTCGTTAATAATCAACCTAATGTATCATATTTCTTCATATAAATACTGGTTTTGATGTATAACCTAGCTAGTTTATCTTGATGATGACTGAAATATAGTCGAAACGTAGATAAATATAAAAATGTTATCGATCTTTGGAGTTTCACTTGCTTTGTATTTTGTATGTATGTATGTATGTATGTATGTATGTATGTATGTATGTATGTATGTATGTATGTATGTATGTATGTATGTATGTATGTATGTATGTATGTATGTATGTATGTATGTATGTATG